GTTTTAAACCAATCAACGATCGACTCGCTAAACCAATCAGCGACGATGTCATCTCAATACAGATTTATATTATAAGCATATGTCATCTTTGAACCCTGGGGTTTCTCCCCCTCTTGGATAGAACCAGAGGTGGTGACAGGATACATGTACAAAGAACTCATTCAGATCATCTTTTTCTTTAGGTTATCTATCGTACTAAATGGCATTGATGCAATAAGAGAGGCATATGTGAACAAGGGGGTTGTATTTGCTGGACGACCAGATGAGCCCCACACGTTAGAACTCAATCCAACCAAATCTGGTAAGCTTTTATCATCATATTACATTTTTGGTTAAGTGACAAATTAAATGCTTGGTGCATCAAATATTTAATAATATGCCTTTCACAATATCAAAAATAAAATAATATTCACATTGATGATTAGTTTGACATTCCTGAAATAAGTACTGTTAAGATATATAAAGAAATCCATACACTAAACTCTTGTACATAAATTGTAATACAGGCTAAAACATTTTAAAAATTGTAATTCAAATATGCATACCCTTTGTAAATTAAAAAGGTGCATGGTGGTCATCTTCAAGCAGAACAATTTTATGACTTTATATTTATGAGAACATATCTATTTGACACCCTGTAGTTTGCGGGAATGTTAACTGTAACTGCATGTCCTCTACATTTCAGGTATATTGTTTATGACATACTCGGAAGCCTGGCGCAATGAAAAGAAAGTAATTGTCCGTGCCCTGAAAGCATTTGATTATGGATCTGCAAGTCTTGAGTCAAAGATCCTTCTTCAAATTGATATGATGAAAGAGGAAATAAACTTGAGACTTGGGAAACGTCAGGATATTTGTAAACTGGTATCATTTACAATGTCAAATACAATGTCTTCTATCTTGTTTGGGACAGAGTACAAATTCTATGATGAAGAATTGACAGGTTTTCTTGAAGATTCTGCAGCAGCGATGTTTCACTCTGCCCGTCTCATGGGTGACATGAACTACCTTCCTTTTCAACGCTTTCTTCCGAAAACCAGGGAAAGAATAGCACAATACAGGAAAGCCAATGATAAAATGAATGAGTTCTTCTTAAAACACATCAACCAACACAAGGCAACAAAACAAAATAATATTTGTCGTGACTTCACCGACATGATGATTGAGGAAGCGAATAAACAGAACAGTGCTTTGCTGGACTGGAATGATGAATCATTTTGCAACACACTCTCCGCTCTGTTTATTGACGCTGTGGATACATCTCCAGTACAATTTCACTGGCTCCTACTCTATGTCCATTACTTTGATAATGTGGCCGATAGAATTCAAAGTGAGATTGAAGAGGTGATTGGAGAGAGGCAACCATCTTTGAAAGATAAAGACAGAATGCCATATACAGAAGCTGTGATCTTCGAAACATTTCGCATGTCAAGTATGTATATGAAGCTTGTAGATTTAGATAAAGTTTAAAATAAAAGCTTTTAAAATGTATGAAAAGCACAACAGCCAAAAGAGTGAATCCCTAATCAAAAAACACAACTGGTAACAAGAAATAAAAATATGGTGCATTTCGGCCATACAATATTGAAAACATTACTTCTTTAATCAATTTGGAGTACGTCTTTAGAGAAATAAAAAAGCTTCCACATGAATATTTCTCTAAGATGGTTAGATAAAGAGAGACTGAGATAGTTGAATGAAAAATATTTCATACATTTGGTGAAAACAGTTTTTATCAATATCAATATCATAATCTGATATGGTTGCACACTAAAACTGTAGTATGACCATAATCAAAGAATTTTTTTAACGTATACATAAAATATTGGGTGAGACTTGAGATAATGTATGCGGCGCCAGTCAAAATTGAAACTTCTGATTGGGTTCGAAGCCGAGATGCCCGGATATGTCCCAGCAAAAGCCGGAATTCACGTGATTTTTCACGAAGAAGGGGCGGAGTTTAAGCGAGATTCATCGAGACTTCTTCGTGTCAATCGTGTCAATCTCTGCATTGCTTATTGTTAACTCCACCTTTTTGCCCATATATGGAGTTGGAGATGCCACTTGCGAGCGTGAACAGTTCAGTCTAGAAATAGAAATTTCTTAAGCGATGTTTTTATGAAAAAAATATTCCTATATCTCCCCACCAACACGGGATTTGGTGGGAGGGGGTACTTACTATTTTTTGATCATTCTAGTAGACCACAAAAATGGCTCTGGCTCTTAAATCAAAGGGAATGGTATTCTGATGATATGTGGAAAGTTTCATGCTTCGTTCCATTGATGAACTATTTGCCTGTTTTCTTGCACTATTGATCTCACTATCTATGCTATTAGCATCATGTATTCAATTTGTGGTTCTAGGTGTTGTCCCACTTGCAACAACCCATTGTGCTATGGAGGATACAAAACTGTTTGGATATGATATCCCTGAGGGCATAGATGTATTTGCCAACCTATGGAGTGTTCATCACGACCCAGATGTATGGGGTGATCCAGAGGTTTTTAGGCCAGAGCGTTTCATCAAAGATGGGATATGTATTCGCCATGAAGCACTGATTCCATTCTCAATGGGTAAATTGACTTCATGACTCTTATCCAAGAAAGCATATCTGAGTATTTAAAAGCAAAATGACTGGGGTTAGATAATTGATAACAAGGCATGCAATACGTCACCATCTGCCATTTGTTACAGACACAGAACACCGACCACTTGACCACCGAAACATTAACCACTAAACTTAACTAAACACGAAACACTAACCACTGAACACTTTCTCCAAAAAGGTTGGAGACTATAAGAATATGTCAACACTTTTGGTATTGACATGAAAAACTGACTGACATAAAGGTAAAGCCTAATAACAACATGTCTAGCTGTTTGAAACATTTTTGTACAATGATGGTATATCACAAAATCACTATTGGGATCTTGGTTGACATGACATTTCAACTTAAATTTTGAACTTGACATGCTTATTATACATCATCAGAAAAATGCAGATTGAACAATATGTTGATTTTCAGATTTCATTTGTTTGTTCAAATGAATCATTGTGAATGAATATTGCTTTTGTCTTCAGGTAGGAGAGCATGCCTAGGAGAACAACTGGCCAAAAAGCAGATCTTTCTACTTTTGACAAGTCTTCTTCAACAATACAAGTTCCATTTGGATGACAAACCAACAAGCTTGAAGGGGGAGTTTTCCATTGCATTAGTACCCCCACCTTTCCAGCTGAGGGTGGAACAGAGGTCCTAGTGAAAATTATGAAGAGTTATTTAACTGTTACATAGCTGACTTATGTTAGATATGTTTTATGGGCTCATTGTTCTTTCCGTGATACCAAGGGGAATACTTATTTTATATTATGCAATGCACTCGCCCACGGGCAGTTCAAAAGTTAGCCTAGAACATTATGTCACCATAATTTATATCAATAGGTCATCTCGATAACCAATACTGAATGAAGGCTGTAAACAGTGTATAAAAGCCGCAATTTCAAAATTTTTGCTTTGGAAAAAGAATGAATGCTTTGTGCATCATTAAAGAATGAAGTATATAACTAAGGACAAATTTTCCCTTATACAAATGGGTGAATGTAATTGAGTAACCAAGATGCCTTTACAAAATTTAAAACTAGAAAATGGCAAGTCCACAGATCCCAGCATCATAGTAGAATATGCCCTTTGATTTTTTGAAGTGACTTTCTGTAGATCATGAAGCACTGATTCCATTCTCAATGGGTAAATTGACTTCATGACTCTTATCCAAGAAAGCATATCTGAGTATTTAAAAGCAAAATGACTGGGGTTAGATAATTGATAACAAGGCATGCAATACGTCACCATCTGCCATTTGTTACAGACACAGAACACCGACCACTTGACCACCGAAACATTAACCACAACAAGACACACAGTGATAAATATCGCACTTTGAAGAGCAAACTGGCCACCATGCAATTTACCCAGCATGGCCAAAACCTAATCAGACCGTGGCACTAGTCTGCTCTTCCATCTGTAAACATTTCAAGTTGACAAGGTTAGCGGTTTTCCTGCAATTTTGATGACAAGAATTTATTTGTAGTCTTGAACTTTGGGAAAATTTAGATAACATTGTTTGTGACCTAATTTGATGACATTCGACCTTGAAAATTTCACTTTTTCAGACCTCAGTAGGTCTTTTGTAATTAGCTGACCTAAATTTAAATCCAAAATATCAATTTAGAAAATCAAATTTTTTACCTTTTCAAGGCCACTGAAGGTCAACGAAAGGTCAAATCTGAAATCTAAGGTCAGATTTGAACTTTTGAGAACTTGTAGATGTTTTTAAAAAAAAAATTTGGTCAATTTGGAGCAAGTTGAAAAATTCAAAATGGCCACCAAATTGAAAAATTCAAAATGGCCACCATGTAATTCAGCCAGCATACCCAAAACCTAATCAGATCTTGGCAATAGTCTGTTCTTGCATCTGTAAAAATTTCAAGTTGAACGGATAAGTGGTTTTCCTGGAATTTTGATGACAAGATTTGTTGAAAAATTCAAAATGGCCACCATGTAGTTTACCCAGCATGCCCTTAACCTAATCAGATCTTGGCACTATAGTCTGCTATTGCATGTGTAAAAATTTCAAGTTGAACAGGTTAGTGGTTTTCTTGGAATTTTGATGACAAGAATTGATTTGTAGTCTCAAACTTTGAGAAACTTGGATAACATCATTTGTGACCTAGTTTAATGACCTTGACTTTCGACCTTGAAAATTTCAAGGTGTTTTGTAATTAAGCTGACCTAAATTTAAATCCAAAATATCAATTCAGAAAATCAACTTTTTTGACCTTTTCAAGGTCACTGTAGATCATCAGATTTTTCCGACTGATAGGGGGTTATCTCAAATTGGTTCGTTTATAAATACGAATTTCTGCACCCTTGTAAGACGCATGCGCAAAATTAATTGTAAGACGCATGCGCAAAATTAATTGTAAGACGCATGCGCAAAATTAATTGTAAGATGCATGCGCAAAATTAATTTATTAATATGATTGGTTGATGAATTTTTGAGTATGCGCCAAGTTTGACACTTATGATGAAGACACCTAGTGAGCATTACTCGCTATTGAACGAAATTCCAAAATTCAGATCATTTTCCTATCTTTGCTAAGCATGTTTATGTTAATGACAAACTGCTGTCAGTAGATCAGGTACGTGTTTTAGACACTACATTAATTTATCTTGACATTGAGGTGCACAGCCAAACTTTTGAGCATGGTAATATAAGTTTTTAAATCCTTAGCACTTATTTCACAGATGGTAAAAATGCACATTGCCTAGATTTTTTGTAAGGGCTGTCCGACATCAGATTGACCACCATATTTGAAATGAAAATATCACTAAATAGAGCTTTGCGCATGTCATAACAGATCTACTGTTAAGTGGTGGTATGACCTTAACAAGTAGATCAATGAAAGTCATTGAATGGTAATTAGAACAAAACAATGGCATTTCTATTTCAGAGCTATAAAATATTTCACTTTATTGTTGTTGATAAATTCAATTCAAGGATACATGTACCAGAGACATAAAATTTTTATGTCTCTGCATGTACATACTTGAAATAAACATATGTGTCCTACTGAAAAGGCTCTAAAGCATGAAAATGCAGTTTCTTTTGATAGAAAACATAACAAACATAAAAGTGCACGTTTAGAGTTTTTTTATAAACTAAACTAAGTCAGTTATCTAAATCAAAACAAAAAATTATCTGCTATCCTCCTATCTATCCACCTACCAACCAATCAGAAGATAATACAGCTTAGCAATTAATAAGTCAAAAACTCAATTTAATTATTAATTGGTTAGTAATTTTCCATGTTTACTCTAATGCTAAATGGTTTGCAAGCTGAAACATTTGTCGATGCCTCTGAACACAAGAAAACTTAAATCATTGAAAAAGAGAATACATGTGTATAACACGAAATACTAAAATCAATAATGCAAGAAAAAACATATTTTCATGTTTCTACATACCAGCTGCTAGGCAATAATTGATACACTTGTATGGAGAGTTATCATCTGGAAATGTTGTATGGACCCCCTTCAGATCTCGTGCTTCCCTATTGTCATGGAAACAACCTAAATGTTTTCCACCATCAGGATCTGAAATTGATGAATATTTTCAAAGTTGAAAATTACCAAATTATAATTATAAAATCAATATAAAACATGCACATTCACCTATTTATTATTTATTTATCTTTTTGTTGTTTATCATCTTACTAAATAATTTATGAGTTTGTTTTGTAAATAATTTGAGTTTTCTTGCAATGGTGTTCTTGATTTATTCACATTCAGTTTGCTTAAGCCAAGTTTGACTTGGTTATAAATCTGTTAAGATGACACAGACGACCATGAATGGCATAAATATGTTTTCATTGACATTTTAGACTGAACAGCTAACTCATGAAGTTTTTTATGAGGTATTTCCTTCTACTTATTTCTAGAAGTTACTGATGAGTTAAAGGTTTTCTTATAATCAGATTGTGGATGATGAGAGTAAATTCTGGAAGTTTTGCGAGTCAGCTATTAAACTTAGACTAACTAGGCCTGATGAGTCTAGAAGTTGTTAAATGTCTATAAGATTGAACACGTCCCTATTCAAGTTGATAAATTCAATTTCACTTTTGGCTCCTAGGTAGCATACAAGACACTTCCCATAACTCAAAGTATTTAGATTAGAATTTTTGTTAAAGTGTGCGCCAAAGTTTAAAACTGCGCAGGCGCACCGCTCTCGCTAAACTATATAAAGAGATTACCGGGTACACGATTCAGAGGTAAGCCAGGAAGGCGAACGATCTTCGTCTCGTGATGATTTCCCATATAATAGTAACCAGGGAAGTTTCACCATTGAAATTGAAAATTACTATTAGATATACTTTGTAGATGTTATTTATGAAGCTATTTAGTGTTTCACTGGCATGTAGCGATTATAGCGGTCCTGTCTTGGCTTATTGAATTGTTACGAAGTTACGTATGCGGTGCGGAAGTTAGAGAGCAAATGACCATCATTTCAATGTAATAGTTAATGCAGGAAAATTGAGATTAGGCCATTGGAGTATTTGTTTCATGCATTTGTAAAACATTACCCACTTATAGGTCATACTTATCATTAAACCAATAACTCAAATATATGCCCTTGTACACCGATCACCTGTTGAAATTAATACAGGCCGATTTCAACAAATGTAAACGGCGATATATTTAAAATCGTATTCAAGCATGACCACGTCCCAACTTCTTTTGTTTTCTTTACAACTAAGCTATGACTGCAGTCTATTCAGTGTTGCGTATCGAACCTTGTTTATTATAAAAATAGTGCAACAACAAGCAGAATTCACAAATTTACCTTATACTTATTCTCAACTGAAGACATTGAATTTATCTCTTAGGTTTTGCGTTATAAATATCTTAACATGCAGAATACGAAAATAGAGGCTTAGGCCCAACTTTGTATGAATTTCATGAGAATAATCTGATTTTAGAGAAATGAAAAGAAAAATGTCCACACCCTACACAGAATATTTATGGTTCCCCGGGAATACGTATGTGTTGCTTGTATATTAGAATCGTATTCCAGTTACAGAAAGAAGTACATATCATGCTAAACTATATACAACAGTTATGCACTGGGAGGTTTTGGTCCCTCGGGAAGATATATTGTATATCCCTCGGGATATTCCCTGTATCCAAAACCTCCCAGTGCATAACCCCCTGTATATATTGGCCTAGGGATAATCCCAATATCCTGAACTGACTATAGGATAATATGTTTATCCCATATCAATCTTGGTCATCTGGTTCACATTGTTAAATCGTGGAAATATTTTAGAATATTCACGTCCAGTTTTGTTTTCTTGGCCGTGGGCGGATTTTCATGTTCTCTCAAATATTCCCATATTTATTTTCTCGAATTTTTTATTGATTAAGTGGATCCTCTTTCCCTTTTTTAACCATCAAACAGACCCCGATTGTCTGTGTTTTCTCCATTGCCGTTTACAGTCATTCCGTGAACGTTACAAATTATGAACAAATATGCGAGCGGCGATTATGACGTAGCGGGCAGATATACTATATCTGCCCGCTCGGGGCGGGACGTAAAACTTTATCCCATGGTTGCAAGGATATAGATCGAATATCACATGATGATATATTTGATATGTGGATCAAGATATCATATTTTAGCAAACAATTTACAAACCATCGAATATCACTTTTAAACTATCGAATATCACATCTTAAATAGAGGATATCCTATGATT